CATGGCACCAAGTACCATGGTACCATTCATCTTCACATTAGCATCTAAAAAAAAAAGGAAGACAACTAAAAGTGTTAAATTTCTATCCATTTTCCAACATGATTGTGAAAAGGATGTCATAACATACAGAATGTAAATATTTCTATTATCCAATTACAGTCATGTACATAAAGAGGTAGCAATAGATGGAATTTTTCTAGCCTGCCCAAAGCCTTTTGCTTCAGCCCTACATGATCTAATCATAAATTGGGACATAATGTCTCTATCAGGATGCTCTTATAGACATAGACCCTCAGAACTGGATAGGCTATTAAAGAAAGGACAGTAGGAATTGGTAGTTAAGAGCTAAGGAATTTTAGTTAGACAGTTTTAAATCCTTAGCCTCTTCCCACTGTATAAACTTGAGTAAGTTTGCAATTCTCTCTGAGCTCAGTTTCCTTATCTGTAAAATTGGAAAAATAATCCCAGCCTCCTGAAGATTAAAAGAAATAGTGTATAAATATCTCCTCTATACATGCCTGATGCTCAATAAATGTTAGCAATGATGATTATTATTAATCTTGACAATAATTAATAACATCCAATTTTTGAGAATCCATGCTTTGAGAAGAAAATTCTTTTCAAAGAGAAGATATTCTGAAGAGAACTCTGAGAATTCACACATCTAGAATAGAAAATTCAAAGTGAAGCAAAAAATTAGAAATAATAAATATATGAGGCTGTGTCACATTTGGTATTTTAAAATGTCATATCGACTGTGAATACCTTTGAAAATGTTATTTGAGCAAAGTTTACTGATAAAACTCAAACCTCAGGGATAGAAATAAGAATCAAAATGACCTTGAAAAGTTTGAAAGACTGGAGGAGAGCATGTTTGCTAAAACCAAGAGGGAAATCCACAGGGACGAGGACAATGTGGATATTGTTCAGGCAGGATAACAGCAGCAAAACTCCTCACAAATGTAGAGACTTATGTAGAATTAGGCCTAAGATGAACGAGACAGGGTTATCACTGGTCTAGTGAAAAAGAAACAAACACACTTGTTAGGACACATTTGCTGCAATGGAAAGAACACTGGGCTGGGCAAGAGGAACCCCAAACTGGACCTAATCCTGTGTTGACTCTCATATAACTTTGGGCCAGTCCCTTCCCATATGGGGATCATCTGTAATGAGTAAGTGCTGGACAAACAAGTTTCTAAGGCTCTTCTAGTGATGAAATGTTGTGTTCCTTTAAAAAAAAAAAAAAGAGCATGAAGTAGCCCATATAGTACATTCTATATTAGTTAATTTGTATTGGGTTTTATTTCATGATTTATAATCATAGCTCTTTGATACTATGATAACAGTAGATACTCTTTGCTGAATGCCTGTTTGCACCTGCAACAGTCCTGATAGGTAGGTAGGTATTATACTCCTTTTATAAGTAAGGAAGCTAATGTTCAAAGATGTCTCAGATTTGTCTGATTCCAAATCACTTGTTCCTTCTCACTTTTCCATGTACTTTTCTTAGTGTCCTGAAAAAAATTCAGAGTATGATTAGAATGATGAAAGATGTAAAAATATTATGCTATAAGAAAGCAGTCCAAGAAATGGTGGCTGTTTACTTTGTTTTCACATCAAACATTAAAATATATTCCAGTAGATTAAATATTAAATGGCTAAAAGTTAAACTATGGTTGTACTATAGGAAAACGTGGATAATTTGTTAAATATATTGGAGAGGGGACAATATAATACAAAACTCAAAAGCCAACAAGGAAAAAAAAGTGACAAATATGACTATAAAAAACATTTTAAAATTCTCTGTAGCATTAAATAACATGCAAAGGAAAAGTTAAAATACAATAATACAAAATACAGATACAATAATACAAAATACAAATAACAAACCAAGAATATTTACAATAGTAATCTAAGAGGGAGGATTAATATTCTTAATATGCAGATAAATTTTTAAAAGAGCAAACTGTCTAAACAAAAAACGGACAAAATAAATGAAGAGGCATTTTATGTAAAAATAAATTCAACAACCTTATTATTGAAGAAATGCAAAATTTAAAGATAAAATTGTTTACCTCTCAGAATGGAAAGGGTCAAATGTTGAGGCATGTACAATTATTACAAGAATATGAGGAAGTTGAAAATCATATATTATTTGTAGGAATATAACTTAATGCAACATTTTTAGAGGCAATTTGGTGATGGCTATCACAATTTCATACTCATGTTCAACAATTACTGTTAGTAATTACTGTTAATTCAACAATTAACAATATACTGTTAGATGATATTTATCACAGCATTGTTTACAATAGTAAAATCCTGAAGCAGCCCAAATGTCCATCAACCATGCACTGGTAAAATAAATTCTTACATTGCATAGTAGAACAGTCATCGCTATTAAAAAGAATGAAATTAATGTGTAGGAATTTGTAAATTAGAAAGCTCTCTAAGATATATTAGTAAGTAGAAAAATAAGGGTATAAAACATTATGTAGAATATGATATTATTTTTATAAAATTTTAAAATTATATATTTTATAAACCAGTTTATATTCATATCAGAAATAATGAGTAGTATATATAAGAAGCCATCAACATGGTTACCTTTGGAGAGAATAATAGGATGTAGGTGTGCCTTTCATATTTATGCCTGTTTCTACTGCTTTAATTTTCATGTATGTACATGATGTGTATATATTAATTTTATTTTTTATATCAAACATTATCTGGGCAATGAGATTATGGCCTATTTTGTTTTTTATTTATTAGTTTCTATATATTTGATGAATAAATAATCATTTTTAAAATGTTCAGTAGCAAATTAAAAGAAACAAATAACGCATATATCCCTTGATTTACGAATACCATTTCCAGAGAATTTATCCTTCAGAAACACTTTTGTAAGTGTTTATAGTAGCAAAAAACTGGAAACAACTTTAACTGGGTCAATGAAAATCTCACTGAAAAGTGCTGGCATATCCACACCGTGGAATACTAAGTTTCATTGAAAAGGTAGAATGATATGAGCTGATATGAAAGATGTCCAAGATATGTCATCAAATGAAAAGCAAAACAAGCTGTAGACTTGTATATATATGATCTGTTCAGGTAAATAAAAAGACAATAATGTTAAAATATATATGTAGAGAGCAAAAGAAATAGAAACTCATGTGCACATAATGAAATTTTTAAAACTATACATACAATTGGTTACCTCTGTGATCTTTTCCTTTTATGCCTTTCTGAAACAGAATTTATTTACCATGATTATATATTATTTTTTACTAAAAAGTTTACTCTAATTGTTTGACAAGAGAAGAAATTATGTGGGATATGAAGGTTGTGCAACTCAGCTTCCTGTAGGCAGGAGCCTGGATCTAACTACCTTCTCAGTCTCTTCTGGCTGGCAGTCATATTTCTGACTCAGCAATAGCCTAGAGTCTCTGAAAATGATTGTCGTCTACCAAGGAAAAGATATGGAATTTTATAGCTAACGGGGGCTTCAGGCTCAAACAACCTAATAGTTCCTTCCCTCTGAGGTGGGAGAAAACTGAGGCTCAGAGAGCTGATATGATAGTCAGTCAGCTACTGAGTGGCATGGCCAGGCCAGGCCAGGCCTGACTCAGTGGACATCCCAGGGTTACCATGGAATCAGTGCTTGCAGTAAGGAGTTCACCGGAAGAAAAAGCCAGGATAGAGGCAAAGAAAATTATAAAAGCAAATAAGGAGACTTTATCACAGTTATTATTAGAGGACCAGGATGTGGGATTGAAGATTACAGATGTTCCAGGCCTAATGGGGGAGCAATTAAAGTGGAAACCCCCCATCTACCACTCAATATCATTGTCAAAGAGGATTGATTAGAGGAAAAATAAAATTATATACTTCACATGTAGATAAACTGATCAGTTCTTTTATTCTTTCATAGGCCACAGTAACCTCCCCTGTAATAAAAGGAAGAAAAGAGTTTTCCAAAACTGAGGCTATATAATATTATGTCACATGCCTCAAAACCCCTCATATCGGCCAGGCCGGAGTTCTGATATCATCTGCCAAACTCTAGTTTTATGTAGGTTAGAAGACCAGACTTACTGTGTGTTCAATTCAAGCAGAAAACCTTAGGGGCTTGTCTTGTTCACCTTTGCTTCCCACCTACTATTTCTCCTCTGGGTTTCTCGGTATCTGGGTCATATACCGAGCCCTGTCGTTGGAGAGCACTTAGTAATTATGTCGTGTTGACTTAGACTGAAATAATCCAAGAAAGATTTTAGTGTTTGCGTCTCATTAAATTTGACTTAAGAATGATTTTCATCCTGGTAGAGTTTGGGGCTTGCTTTTTGATGTTTTGTTTCTCTTTCAGTATGGGACCCAAAATGGGAGTTAGCAGTAGTAAAATAAAGTCCGGGCACTCTTTATTTCATTTTGTCAGAATTCATTCTCGAATTGTGCATGAGAAATGGGTCAGTGAAGTTTATTTTAGAACAAGGCTCAGGGCTGTCTACCCAGGCTCAGGATGACAGGACTAGGCAACTGACCAAAGAGGGGGCTTTGGCAGCCAGCCAGGCCCATTTTACACCGTCTCCCCAGGACCTCATCTGAATATTTTAATCTTTCAGCATATACTTGTCTGTGCATATTACATGTGTCTCTCTTTATCATCCTGTTTTTCCATTCTAATTTTGAAGGCTTTTATTTATCCCATAAATCTAGGAAACTCAAGGGGTATATTAAATGCATGCGCTAGAATAGACAAAAATGTTTTCCACTCGATCAGACCATGGCACAAACACCAAAAGATGAAATGTCATATTTCTAACTAAAACTTATCCAGACCATGACACTGGCTAAGTTCACAAACACCTGAGTAGGGTATGAGGGATTTTGAGGCATGTGACATAATCTTATATAGCCTCTCAGTTTTGGAAAACTTTTTTCTTCTATCAGAATATTATGCCCTATGACATGCCGAAAATCTCTGGCTTCCTCTCTTTCAGGTGAATGGCATTGACCTCCGTGGTGCATCCCATGAACAGGCAGCTGCTGCGCTAAAGGGGGCTGGACAGACGGTGACAATTATAGCACAATATCAACCTGAAGGTCAGTCAGAACCCAAACGTATAATGTTCTTATGTCTCTGTGTGAATGTGTACTCACATTACTGATCACCTGTATTAATCAGAGTCCCCACCAGTAATGTTTTGTAAAAACACCTATAGTGAAAAATTGATGGTTCATGTCCGAAGAACATGAGACTTCGTTACCCATGATCTTTCATGAAATCATCAGGCACTTAGAAAGGCCTGTATGAGAATATGAATTCAAATAAATAGCAACCAGCAATCAGCTTTATTTCATTTATATTCTTATCTGGTATACATTTTTGGTGATCAATGGATACTGTAAAAACAATTAAGACTTAAGAAGCAAGGGGTAAATATTTCATCTATAGAAATAGACCATGATCAGTAGACCATATTCTCTCCTTCGGGCATTAACTTAATTCTCATTAACGCTCACATGGCTTTTGAATATCCTTAATGGGGATTTGTTTTTTTCTTTGTCTTTTCTGCTACATTATCTCTTGTTTGGAATAAATCACTGTAAACCCTGAGACTTGGTGAGATGTCATAAATTGGATTAGCCAACTGAAACTCAATGAGATATCCTAAATTGGATTAGCTATATCCTGCTCTTTGGTTTGTTTAAACATCTGTTTCTGTGATCAGACTGAGGCTCAATGTGACAACTGGGATGTTACCTATTGTATGGTTGATTTCTTAACAAGTTCATATATAGATTCCTTCTTTGCTAGTGAAATGTACTTAAGCATACCAATTGTGGCCTAGACCTTGTACAAAAAAAAAAGGAATAGGACTTCTGTCTTCAAGAAATGTACTTAATTGCTTTTCGTCCACATGGCTGACAAAAAGGAGTATTAAACAGCTAACATGAGGGTATAAGATTCCATCAAGGAAGAACTTCTGTGCATGGGGGTATAAAGAGCTCCTTTTCAAATGATTCTTTGTTAATATCAATTGGTCTATTGTTGTTTGGAAAACTGAGGTTTATGTCTTGCCTGTGAAAGCTTAGATTTTATCATTAATGATGGCTAATCACATGCTCTGCACAAAAATAAAGAAAACACTTTCATCTATACATATTTTAGTATATTACCTTTTCTTGTGGCTGGCTTTAGAATTATAATTTGCATTTACACAAAAATTTTTATAAATGTTTTCTCCTATTGGCCTAGGCCAGATATGACCAGAGAGTGGGGAAGAGGGGATTTTATAAAGGTGAATGATGGGCCGGGCGCAGTGGCTCACGCCTGTAATCCTAGCACTCTGGAAGGCCGAGGAGGGAGGATCGTTTGAGCTCAGGAGTTCGAAACCAGCCTGAGCAAGAGCGAGACCCCGTCTCTACTGAAAATAGAAAGAAATTAATCGGACAACTAAAAATATATAGAAAAAAAAAATTAGCCGGGCATGGTAGCACATGAGCTACTTGGGAGGCTGAGGCAGAAGGATTGCTTGAGCCCGGGAGTGTGAGGTTGCTGTGAGCTAGGCTGACGCCACGGCACTCACTCTAGCCCGGGCAAAAGAGTGAGACTCTGTCTCAAAATAAAATAAAATAAAATAAAGGTGAATGATGGTAACACCAAGAAAACGTGCCATTCCTAGATAGTTTTTGAAGTCTTTCCACTTCTTAAATATTAGTAGACTTATCTTCCAACAGGAATAAATGGCTGTAAAAGTATCCATATAAAACAGAAAATGAAAAGATCTGGGTTAGCATAATTTGGTTAATAAATTCTATTCCATACAGAATAAGAATTTTTTCATGGGAATTTTCCATTTTCTGGATAGCTGGGGTTTTTTTTAATATCAAATTTTATGCCCTTCACCATCACCTGACACATGGCATAAATGTCCCTGGCTGTTTTCTTGTCTCTGAAAATTTCATCTCAAACAATTCTGTAGACTGATAAGATGATTAGAACTATCCATACACCAATTAGAAGCTCTTGATAGTGATCAAGTGTTCACATAATAACCTTGGACAGAATGATTTCAAGTTTTAGAGGTTACAATAAAGGACAAATGTGTCCTAGTTCTATCAGTATAAATCTTCATCTTTCTACTGGAGTTTCCTTACAGCTTGGTTTCTTCCAAGCAACCTGTTTAATTGGGATACTGTGCTGTACTTTATCAAGATGCCTGTTCAAAGCATGCCTTATAAATTATATATATGAATTTTTGAAGTGCTTCTAAAGAAACCTGCAAATAACAACAACCTTGTTTTAAAAATACCAGAGCACAGATTGAATTCACAGAATGACTTCCTTATTTTGATAGTCTAACTGTATTTTAATTTGTCATAGCTTTAAATTAGTTGGAAATGTGGTAATAACAACATCAGCAATCGGGTTTTTCCCCCTCTTTGCAAACTTGATGTGTAACTGAATTTAAATTTATCTATGGTTTTGAAAGAAAAACTGATTGGATTGTTGTTTTGGTCATTTAGGTACATTTAAATTGTACAACATTTTTAGGAAATAATGAACAATTTACCTTTAAAATAACAAGTGAAATGAAGAATGTGTCAAGAGATTCCATTAGGAAATTCTCACCAGGTCCCCTTCATTTGCACCAGTATTATGAACTATCCAACCCTTAAGACAGTGCTAAGAGAAGATTTTATTGACATCTCTTTTAGTATAGTCAAGAACCAGGCTCTTGGTAAATGCATTTTCAGTCACCTTCAAATACTTCATCAGGAATTTTCTAAAATGCTTTGCTCAGTATTACCAGATATTCAGAAAATTTTGCTTCCCACCCCAAGTAATATAGCATGGTCTTTGTCTTCAAGGAATTTTTTTATCTTATTGAGGAGAAAAGACTTTACACATTATTAATAGAGTCTAGTTATGGATGGTATATGACCAAATTGTATGATAATGGCATCATCTCTAAGAATTATGGAATGTCAGAGAAAGGACAAACCTACAGAGGCCAGAACAGTCAAGAGAACATCATGGAAATGCAGAAATGGAGCCAGGCCTTGAAAATTGAGTGAAATTTCTATTCTAGAATGGAGGGAGGAATAATGTCTTTCTAAACTACAAAATCATGAGCCCCATCAGACACCATACCTATATTTTGTTCACTGATAGATCTATCTCTGGTGTTATAATTGGTATTTCTTAAAGAGTTGCTGAACTCATGAATAAAAATTTATCATTCCTCAGTACTTGAGTTTCCACTTGAAGGTAATTGAATATTGAAGGGATTTTTCATTTTTACTGCTTGCACTATTCATTTTTGCTTCAAAGACAGAAAAAAATTGCTAAAGAAGTGTGTGTTGCAAAATATAAAACCATTTCCAATTGTGCTTATCATAGTACTTGGCATTTAGCACATTTTTGAAATAATTAAAAATAATTTATGATTTATAATTATAATAATATATAATTAATAATTTGTAATTATCATAATGTAGCAATAAATGTCTTCTTTTGCAAGTTTCACTCCACAAAGTGAGGTCAAAGTTATCATACTCATTTCTGCTTAAAGTGAGCTTGGCTTCAGTTGTCCAAATTACTCTATCTATCATCAATCTTATCCAGTGTTTAATTCAAGGTAGTGGAATTGAAGTCAATTTGAATAGTCATATATAATGTTTCTCTCCTGCAGTGTGATTGTCATTCATTTTTACCATCTTTTTAAATCTAATTTGTATCATGTACTTATTTTTAAATTAACATATATTCATAATAAGAAGAAAATATTGAAGTTATTTTTTTTTCTTTTCTTCTTTTTTTTCTTTCTTTCAAGAGGATTATATATCTTATACTTCAGAAATAATTCTATTTAAGCATTATGGGAAGTTAATTCTTGTAAAACCTTTAATTACCTATATTTATTTAGTGAAGTTACTCTAACACCACACAAGAAAATGTAATTTCTACTCCCACATACACACACACACACACACACACAAACACACACCCTCCTCCCTTTCCATACCCTTCCCAGCCATCTTCCCCATTGCTTTCAGAATTATCTTTCTAAAAGATGTGACCCCAAGGTGGCTGTGCAGAAATCCCTTGCCCTTCACAATATATTTCAAGCCAACTGCCATGCCCCCACCTCACTCACCCCATCACCATACACAGCATCATCTTTTTTCACTCTGCTATTGCTACGCAGGATGGCTCCCTGCTCCTATACTTCGTCCTGAACAGTCATGCTTCTGTGCCTTTATTCTGTGAGTTCCTCTACCTGGAATTCTCTTTTCTCCCTTTCCACCTGCAGAATTCCTACTCATCTTAGGGGCCCTCAGATGTCAATTCCACTATGAAGCCATCTTTAATCTGCCCAGTCAACGTTTATTGTTTCTTTTTCTGAGCTCCTCAGACCTATACTCAGACATCTGGTGTGTCCCTTATCACAGTTGGCACATTTCTGCACTCAAATAAGCTTCTAGAGAGCAGGGAACCTTCTGTCACTAATTTTATCTCCAGTGTTAATTCACTTAATATGAATTTGACCATACTTTATTAATGAGTTATTGAGGTCTCCCCTTGCCTTAGAAATGCAATATAATATTTTCATCATGTTGACAAATCTTAAAGTAGGTACTTAAGAAATGTTTGCTTAATGAGTATTGAATGAATGGCATGGGGTTTTGATATCCGATGGAGAAATGGTAAATGAATCCCTGGATCAGATATTTGATATTGATGGTTTTTAGATGGTGCCATTTTAATTTTTGTTACAAAATCTTTAGCAACACTAGTAGATAAACTCCTTTTCTCCTGAAGTGTGGAAATTCTACAGATGTTCTTTTGTAGTATAGCACAAACAAAAAATGATTAAATCACTAACTTTTTAAAATTTCTGAAACTCAACATTAACACCATAAGAAAGCCATTGATTATAACCTAATTATACATTTGTCCAAAAAGGATCTAACACAGCATTCCTGGGTCAGATCAGGGCAAATCTTTACAGTGTTTGTTGTCTTCTCACTAATAATACCTACATTTAGTGTGAGATACCTGACTAGGGTTGAAATAATAAACCACAAGACATTCA